TTCATCCATCCATCCTTTATTTAGTTTTTGTTTGGTCTGTCAGTTTCTCTATCTCTCTGTCTCTCTGTTTTACTGTCTTTTACTATCTGCAGTTCTTGCGATTTCTGTTCCCTGTCATTGAGTTTCTGCCTGTGCCTTTTCTGTCCTTTTCAATTGTCTATTTTGCTGTCTTTCGCTCTGTTGGTCTGTCATTCTACTTGCTGTCTGTTTGTCTGCCATCTATTTGTCTTTCTGTTATGTGACCTCATTGAAGATTCTTTAAGAATGTAATCTGACTGTGAGAACAGTTCAGCACAACTGTAGTGCAGACGTGTGCCATTCACTCTCAGTGCCCACTTCCTGTGTGGAGCTTCTGGAATTCTCTTTCATGCAAGAAACAGCACAAGTGTGTTCAAAGAGCCTGGAGAGATTTATGAAAAAGAGAGAAAGACAGTAGCTGAGGGCCAGTGGAAGTGTGTGAATCCTTCTCTTTTAGCCTCATGGGAATGTTGGTTAGATTGGCTAACCAGCACTGGCCTCCCTGATACACAACAAGCACACAAACACATTTTTGTGTTTTATGAGGACTCTCTATAGGCGTAATTTTGATTTATGAGGACACATATTCACCTTATAAATTGCCTAAATGTAGTTATACCTAGGTCATACATACATGTCCTCATAAACCATCTGAATGTTGTTATACCCAGGTCATAGATACGTATCTTCATAAACCACCTCAATGTTGCAATATGTAGGTCATAGACCAGGGGTGTCCAGACTTTGTTCTCCAGAGCCGGTGTCCTGGAATGTTTAGCTCCAAACCCTATTCAAACACACCTGAACCAGCTATTCAATGTCTTACTAGATATACTAGAAACTTCATGTCTTCCCTCGAGGACCGAGTTTGCACAGCCAGGTCATAGATACATGTCCTTATAAACCATCTCAGTGTTGTAATACCTAGGTCATAGACACATATCATCATAAACCACCTCAATATTGAAATACCTAGGTCTTAGACCAGGGGTGCCCAAACCCGATCCTTAAGGGCCGGTGTCCTAGAGAGTTTAGCTCCATTGCAATCAATCACACTAAACAAGCTAATCAAGCTCTTACTAGAAATACTAGAAACTTCCTGGTGTGTTGAAGCAAGTTGGAGCTAAACTTAGCAGGACACTGGCTCTCCAGGGCAGAGTTTGGACAACCTGTCAAATACACATTTTCTTATAAACCACATCAATGTTGTTATACCTAGGTCATAGATACATGTCCTTAAAAACCGTCTCAGTGTTGTAATTCCTAGGTCATAGACACATGTCCTCATAAACCACCTCAATGCTGTACTAACTAGGTCATGAACCAGGGGTTTCCAAACTCGCTCCTAGAGAGCCGGTGTTCTGGAGAGTTTAGCTCCAACCCCAAGCAATCACACTGAACCAGCTAATCAAGCTCTTACTAGATATGGTAGAAACTTCCAGGTAAGTTGAAGCAAGTTAGAGCTAAACTCGCTCTCCAGGACAAAGTTTGGACACCCCTGTCATATACATATATCCTCATGTTACCACATTTATCTTGTAATACCTAGGTCATAGAGACATGTCCTCATAAACCACCTCAATGTTGTAATACCTTGGCCACAGAACAGGGATTTTCAGTTAAACTCCAACCCTAATCAATTACACCAAATCAACTAATCAAGTTCTTACGAGATATAATAGAAACTTCTAGGTGTGTTGAAGCAAATTGGAGTTAAACTCAGAAAGTCACCGGCCCTCCAGGCCCTAGTTTAGACACCCTTGCCATAGACGCATGTCCTCATAAAATACATTAATGCTGTACTACCTATGTCATAGACACATGTCCTCATAAACCACCTCAATTTTGTAATGCCTAGGTCAGATCAGGGGTGCCCAAACTCGCTCCTAGAGAGCCGGTGTCCTAGAGAGTTTAGCTCCAACCCCAGGCAATCACCCTGATGCAGCTAATCAAGCTCTTACTAGATATAGTAGAAACGTATAGGTGTGTTAAAACAAGCTGGGGCTAAACTTAGCAGGACACTGGCTCTCCAGGACAGAGTTTGGACTCCCCTGTCATATACAAATATCCTCATAAACCACATTTATCTTGTAATACCTAGGTCATAGAGACATGTCCTCAATAACCACCTCAATGTTGTAATTCCTAGGCCATAGACCAGGGGTTTCCCAATTCTGTCCTAGAGGACCGGTCTCCTGGAGAGTTTAGCTCTATCCCTAATCAATCAAAGCAAATCAGCTAATCAAGCCTTTAAAAGATATAATAGAAACTTCCAGTTGCGTTGAAGCAAGTTGGAGCTAAACTCAGAAGGACACCGGCCCTCCAGGACTTAGTTTGGACACCCCTGTCATATACACATGTCCTCATAAACTACATAAATGTTGTAATACCTAGGTCATAGACACATGTCCTCATAAACCACCTCGATGTTGTAATACCTAGGTCATAGACATGTTCTCATAAACCACCTCTAAATTGTAATGCTTAAGGTCATAGACACATATCCTCATAAACTACCTACGTGTTGTAATATCTAGGTCATTATCACATGTCCTTATAAAACACCTCAATGCTGTAATACCTAGGTCATGTTTCATATTTTATTTATTTTAGATACATCATACACTTGCTTTGTTTACCAAAGACATGGATCTTATTGGAATTGCATCATAAACCTTAAACAAATATTTAAAAGTTGTTGTTTTTTTTTTTTTTTAGTGTTTAGGTTTTTAGTTATTTTTCTTTCAAAATCATTCCACATAAATCTGCATTTTTTTTTAACAATATTCTGTTAAGAAATAGCAAAAAACGTCCACATCATCCATGTCATTATACACATTACTGTCCTTGTAAACCACCAAAACCAGCAAACACACACTTACCTCTTTATTCAACCCTATAGGGTCTCCTTAAAAACCCAAACCTCCATTTAATATACATCTATCAAAAAAGAAGCAAAGGAAATGTTCTCCACCTGTTCCCCTGATCTGTGCTTTTTTTGGGTCAAGATTGTTGAAATTATTTCCAAACCCTTTTATTTTTTTGTATATAGTCAACACTGAGTAAGCTCTCAGTCTCTTTCTGTAGCGCACGTACACTCACACACACACGCACATTAAAGGTCAGTATTGTGGCTTCTCCCTTTCATATTTTATTGCATACTGGAGTCTTTTGTCTGTGTTCAACAATTCAGTGGGTTCAGGTGCATCTTAAACATAGGCGGCTTTTGAAGCAGTATGAGGCATAATGGCTTCTCTGGCTTCTCTTCTTATGTGAGTGTGTGTTTATGTGTGATTGCAATCATTTTGCTTTTATGACATCAGCACAGAGCACCAACATCATGTGCTCCGCTCAGACTATTTGCCAGTCTTTGTGTGTGTGTGTGTGTGTGTGTGTGTGTGTGTGTGTGTGTGTGTGTGTGTGTGTGTGTGTGTGTGTGTGTGTGTGTGTGTGTGTGTGTGTGTGTGTGTGTGTCTAAAATGGCTTTGGTAGTATTGGATTAACCTAAATAAATGTTAACGCATTACATAAAAATGTAATTAACAGAACTGCTAGTTTGTATTTTGTGTTTAACTAGTAGGGTTTATCTGTTTTATTGTATGGTATGTGCATTTGTTTATTTATTTATTGTGTTTAACTTTGAATTATTTTATGTTTGTATTTATTTATTGTGTTTATATTTATTCATATATTTATTTTTTTATTGTATGATTATATTTGTATTTATTTGCTTATTTCTTATGTTTATATTTTATTCATTTATTGTGTTATTTATTTATTTTTATTTGTTTGCTTGTTTGTTTATTTATTTATTGTGTCAAACTTTATATTGATTTATTATATGTTATTATTTATTCATTGCATGTTTATATATTATTTATTTATCATTGTATGATTATATTTTTATTTATTTGCTTATTTATTATATTTGTTTTTTGTTGTATGTTATTATTTATTTATTTATTTATTTATTTTATGTTGATGTGCATTTATTTATTTATTGTATGTTTATGTGCATTTATTTATTTATCGTGTTTTTTTGTATTGATTTATAATTTGTTATTTATTTATTGTGTTTATATTTATTTATTTATTGTTGAATAATTATATTTGTATTTATTTGCTTATTTATTTATCATGTTTATATTTTATATATTTAGTTATGTATTGTTATTTTTATTTATAATGTTCATATTTATTTATTGTTTCTATCTTTGTGTTGATTTATTATATGTTATTATTTATTTATTGTAAGTTTATATGTATTTATTTATTGTTTTATGATTGTATTTTTATTTATTTGCTTGTTTATTGTGTTAAAATTGTATTTATTTATTGTATGTTATTTTTTAATAATTATATGTTTATATTTATTTATTATTTTTTATTGTATTATTATATTTTATTTATTTGCTTATGTATTTACTGTGTTTTTATGTATTTATTTATTTGTTGTTATTTTTTATTTATTAAATGTTTTTATTTTTTATTATTGTATGTTTATATGTTTATATTTATATTTGTTTATATTTACTTATATTTATTTATTGTATGTTTATATGTTTATTTATTTATATATTTATTTATTGTGTTTATCTTTGCATTGATTTATTATATGTTATTATGAATTTATTGTATGCTGATTTATTTATGAATTTATTATTGTATGATGATTATATTTTATTTTTTGCTTATTTGTTTATTGTGTTTATATTTTATTTATGGTATGTTATTTTTTATCATATATTTATTGTTTATTTATTTATTATTTTTAGTTTTGGATTGATTTCTATGTTATTATTTATTTATTGTAAGTATTTATTTAGTTATACAGTTTTTATTGTTTATATATTTTTATTTATTGTTATTTTATTTATTGTATGTTTTTATTTATAAATTTCTTTCTTTTTTCAATCTTTCTGTCTGTCTGCCTACATAAATGTGAAAGTCATTCTTCTTTTGCTTTTTGTTTTCTTTCTCAGGTTGATTTCAAGGACAATCCTGCAGTAGATCCCATCATTCATGGTCTAAGAGGAGTGGTGCATCATGGTAAGTGAATGTTTCTACAGAAAATGAGTGTTCGCTGCTGAAATCTATCAAATATTAGTTTTATTAGTCACATGTTTCATTGGCCATTAAAGCACTGACTCGCTCTTAAGTTGATGACTGACATGTCTACATGCTGAAATGATGATGATGATGATGATGATGATGATGATGATAATGATGATGATGATGATGATAATGATGATGATGACGATGACGATGATGATGATCATGATGGTATGGAATCAACAGATCTGGCTATCATGCTACACACTGTGCCACCGTGCAGTCCACCTCAAACGTTTTTTTTTAAATGAAAAGCAGTTTTTTTTTCCAGAAAAACTAAAAGAAATGAGACCCTCTGCAGACGAAAGAATATTATAGGAAATACTGTGAAACACTTGGGAAAAATTTGAAAAATAAAAAACATTTCATAGGAGGGCTGATCAACTGTGTTTATATGCACACGCTGTAACATTTCCAAGCCTAAACACACAATCACACCACACAACTGTAATAATTAAACTAATAATCAAATCAGAAAGTAAAAAAAGCTACCACTGGCCCATCAGAACACGTTTCACATTAAAACAGTTGTATAATCACAAAGTTCCATTAGCCTTTGGTCTGAGCAACTGCCCTGGAGAATCGTCAGTCTATAGCGATCGCTGATTGGCTTCTGTACTAGAAGGCGGGGCTTCTACGCTTTTCCCTATTCAAACTATACAAGTGAGACATCTTGTGCATTCTATAGTCTTTAATAATAATGAAGAAATAAAGAAACTTATGGTTTATTTTAAAACAATATGGTTTCCGTGGGGTCTTAAAAAGCCTTAAAATGTTCTATATTTCAAAAAGAAAACTTCACTGAAATATTGTGTTGTGTGTCTTGTGTGCATTTTAAACAGATCTTTAATTTTCCAGGTCTTAAAAAATCGGGCCAACATCCATCCAATCACCAATACATCTTAATAAAATCAGGGAAAGTAACCTAAAAACAATTACACAGTTCTTCTGATAATAACAGAGCAATAAAACCCAAAATGACCAACCTAAACCAGCTTAAACCAGCTTGATCAGCTTGATGCTGCTTTTGGCTGGGAGCTAGGCTAGGCTGGTCAAGCTGGTTTTAGCTGCTCATCTCCCAGCCTGACCGACAGTCTGGAATGGCCAAAACCCCTCTAAAACCAGCCTAGTTAAGCAGCTAAAACCAGCTGTTTAAAATAAGCAGGTTTTTTCAGCAGGGAAATATGGGGGAATAGACATAATATTTGTTTTTAAAAAGGCATGAAACTTAAGGTTTTATAACAGAAATGCATTGGCTTGAATAGAAGTTACACTCAATAAGTTTAGACTAAAAGCAAACAAATACATATTTATGTAATTACCTCCATAATAATTATTTTTTTATTCATATATACTTATACTTTCATGTTAAACTTATTATTAAAAAAAAATAAATACTATGGTGAAAAAATACAACTATTATTTTCTTGTTTTGACACATTTAAGTATGTCACTAGGAAACATTAATATATATATATATATATATATATATATATATATATATATATATATATATATATATATATATATATATATATATATTTTTTTTTTTTTTTTTTTTTTTTTTTTTTGACATAAGATTGACATTGTATCCTAATGTTGTTGGAACGTTGCATTTTGCTTGGAACTGAAAATCAGGTTGACGTCAAATCTAAAATTAATCAAATATCAACGTCTAATGATGTTACCGCTTGACGTTTTGTAGACATTACCACTATGATATCTATCAGACATTGGATTTTGGTTGCAGTGACCGGTTTTGCTGGCTCGACGTTGGGTTTTGGTCACTTTCCAACACAACCTATAATCAACCAAATATAAACATCATTTGACGTTGTTATTGGACGTCAAAATAACGTTATCCTTACTCTGACTAGACAATGAATTTTGATCACCAAACCTCACAACCTAAATCGAACCTAATATAAACATCTTATGACACCTGCTGGACCTGATCATGCAACAACTATGGCTACATTTAAGAAAAAATAGCAATACTTTTTACTCCTACTAAGATTTAAACTGTGCTATTAGCACAAAAAGATCATTTGGATTTGAGAAGATAATTGTAGCCCCCCATAATAAAATCCTAAGATGAGATGACCCTTAATAGTCATCTGTGGTGTTTCTTTAGTGCACGTCCACACATTAAAAGCTCTGAAACGATGAAGACGCCACCAGCTGCTCCCAGCGTGAACTGAGCTGTAAATTCCATAATGCTGAGATGAAACGGCGACGTCTGTCCACCAGCAAATTGACGTCTTTAAGGATTTCTTAGTTAATATACTCTTGTTCTGCCTGCTTTTCAGTCATCTCAGGAACATGCCTCCATGTGTCCGTGCCAAGTTTAAAGGCACGCAGAGGCTTTGATGGTAATTACCAGACTGCGATTTGTGCTGCCCACTGAGACAGTCCAAGAAAGTGTGCGAGAGAGCGAGAATGACGAAGTCGTGGTGTAATCCGGCAAACCATGCTACTAAAAGCATCGTAGTGCCAATTCTGACAAAGAGATCAACTCTAATGCAGTGTAATAATGGCACTCAGTTTAAACGGCGGCCCACTCAAAAGGGATTTTTACCCCGACTGAAAATAGTTCTGCCTCCACCTGCTGCCAGACAATGAAGCTGATGATGTTCAGTTTGATGATGATGATAATAATGAGGATTACTAGGGTGTGATGAGCATGATTAACATGATTTTTACATAAAAATCATATTAAAACAATTTTTATGTGAGGTATTCATGCACCTGCAAAAGGAGACGGCATTATGTTATGGTATTACAAGGACTGGCTATGCAGCGGTTGCTAGGGTGCTCTTGTTGAGCTCACACAAAAGTCTCTATGCTATTCTGGTTTCTCATTGAAGCTCAGGTCCTGGGGATGGCGATCCAAAAAAACATCTTAAAAATATTTTATTTAATATCCGGTTCCTCCACCACTCCGCTGACAGATAAAAGGAATAACAAATAAATAGGAATCCATGGCCAAATGATGAGACAAGCGCAATAATAAATACATTTGTACAGAAGAACCACTGAATTTAAAAATGTTTGCTTTTTTAAGTAAATAATAATAATAAATAAATAATTCTTATATATTTTCCTGTTCTGGATTTTTTATTCAACACATTTCTGAGCATAACTCATTTCTAACTGATTGGCAGTACATAATATTTTACTAGATCATTTTCGAGATACTAGTATTCAGCTTGAAGTGACATTTATTAATCGATCAATCATTCAGTCTGGGGTGTGTTTCTGAAAACCATCGTAAGCCAACAAAGGTCGCAATTTCCGTAGTTACAAACATAGTTTGTTGATTTGGCGTTTCCCAAATCCATCGTTTCAGTTAACATTGGCAAACTGCGTCGCAAACTTGTACGAATGCAACTTCACCTCTGGAGCTGTAGAATAATAATTCCTGGTTGTGTCCTATTCCCAGTTATCTCTCCTATGCCCTATTCATTTAGAATGTTCCAACATTTAAACTCGGAATGATTTAAAGGTAAAAGCGTTAAAGTCATCACTTTTAGATGTAATTTTCTTTCAAATTATTTTTATAGTTTAGTTTTAGCAATCTTCATGTTTGCACTTTGAAAACATTTATGTCATTTTGAACGCAGCCGTGGCTCATAAGAAAAGCTATAGGTGACCTATTATTTAAATTTATGTAACGTCTTCAAATCTTCATTTGTTTATTCGTTCATTCATTTTCTTTTCTGCTTAGACCCTTTATTTATCAGGGGTCGCCACAGCGGAATGAACCGCCAACTATTCCAGCATAATTTTTACGCAGCGGATGCCCTTCCATCGGCAACCCTTTGCTGGGAAACACCCATACACTCTCATTCACACACATACACTACGAACCCAATTACCAGATTCACCTATAGTGCATGTGATTGGACTGTGGGGGAAACTGAAGCACCCAGAGGAAACCCACGCGAACACGGGGAGAACATGCAATCTCCACACAGAAACGCCAACTGAACCAGCCGAGGCTTGAACCAGCGACCTTCTTGTTGGGAGGCGATGTTTCCAAATGTTGTGAGAACAAAAATATATAGCATACATTAATGGTTTTAATTTAAATTAGGCCATTTATTAGGAAATGTATCTGTACTGTATACGGCATGGGCTTATTGGTTTGAACATTTCTGCAGTGCCTTGAATGTGTCAAATTGTAAAAGCAGATGTTTCATAAATGAAAAAAACAGTAAATTAACAATATCCTACTTAATATTAATAACAATAATAAATTATTATTGTTATTGTTATTGTTATTAATATTATTGTTATCATTATTATTATTCATAATAAAAATAACAATAAATGAATAATAATAATAATTTGTTTAACTTATTATTATTATCATTATAAATTGTTATTATTATTATTATTAACTTATTATTGTTTTTGTTATTATTATTTTAAATATTATTATTATTATTATCATTATTGATTTATTATTATCATTATTATTAACTTATTATTGTTGTTATTATTATTATTATTATTATCATTAATTTATTATTATTATTGTTATTACTGTTATGATTATCATTAATTTATTATTATTATTATTATTATTATTATTATTATTATTATTATTATTATTATTATTAACAGAATATGCAACCTCCACACAGAAATGCCAACTGACCCAGCCGGGGCTCGATCCAGCAACCTTCTTGCTGTGAGTCGATTGTGCTACCCACTGCAAAACCCTTTTGCCCCATTATTGTTAATATTATTATTATTAAGTATTTTTTTTTGTACTGCAAATTACAACCATTCAACATGATAATTTATATATGAGATTGGAACATGTGTTGATAAAGTGGTTTATAAAATGTTTTATAATAGAATATGAATATTAATCATATTTGTAAAGGAAATGTGGGCCCTATATCTGCCGTTTACATGTATTTCAATTA